AGCAGTTCTTGTTTCCCTGTTTTCATGTAATTTTATATTTCTTGCATTTCTGGATTTGAATTGTGTTTAAAGGCTGACTTTTTNTTCTTGTTTCCCTGTTTTCATGTAATTTTATATTTTTTGCATTTCTGGATTTGAATTGTGTTTCCCTTAAAGGTCCATATTTCACACTTCTCCTGTGTTTTATATGAAGTGTTGATCCAGAAGAAGATATATTTGTGGTTTTAAGAACCAAAAACCATCTCGATGTAGTTTTACATCTCTTCTCTCAAGACTTCTCTCTGGAGCTCTAGTAACAACAGGTCGGTGAGCCAATCAGAAGAGAGGAGGCTCTGAGCCTCTCTTTTGATCGGCTGACTTTTTTTTCTGAGTGATTGAATAAAAATATAGCAGATTTCAGGTAAACACTCAGAGAAACCAAATCCCGCAAGGTTTGGATGGTGGGTCCAGGTGGGCGGGGTTTGGGACGTGGCAGAGAGCGGTGACTACTACAAGTTCTATACAATACAGGCTGTGTGCATTTCTCTGTGGACTGAGCGCTTTGATACTTTCACAGTATTAATATAGAACCTAGACCTGCTCTATAATCAGAAAGCACATGGACATCTACCGTTATACAATATGAGACCTTCAATGCTTGTGCTTCCTCTCTTGTATGTGTTTTGTCCTTCGGGGCCATCGTACATCGCCTATCAGTTAAAGAAGATGAATATTAATCTGACTGAATGTACACTTTCCTTTTCTGATTCTGTTTCTTTTAACTTTTGTTATTTTTCATCTCCCTCTGCACTGCTCTCTCTTTCTGCCCTCTCTTCTTCCTTCCCCCCCTCCAGAGAGTCTGTATAACTCCTCTCAGGGCTACGAGATGATGATGCAGGTTGACTGTGAGGTCATGGACACCCGAATCGTCCCCATCAAGTCCTCCGCTGTCCCGCCATCCCTCCGCGACCCTCCCCCACCTCCCCCCTCCTCCCACCACAACCCTCACCACCATCACCATGGCAACCACACCTCACTCCGAGGACGACACCAACATCACCCGTCCTCCTCCTCCTCACCGTCCTCCTCCTCCTCCTCCTCCTCCTCCTCGTCTCCGAGGCAACCTTTACCCGCCCGCCGACGGACAGCTGAATATTTCATCAGCCAATCAGAAGGGGTGTGAGGAGACGTTGCGATGGAAAATAGAAAACATGGAGAATAGTCTGAGAGGAACATCCAAACCTTCTGATCATCCCTGCAGCAGGTTTCCCCTCCTCCTTTTCTGGACAAACCTTCACGAGACACATCGAGGGATTAAATCAGCCATTACTGTTTCAACACAGCTGTTACTGTCACTAAACTCAAAGTCCTCTTTCAGATTCTGGGCTTGAAAATAAAAATAAAAGCCTCTTTAGAAGATAATGCCCTAATATATAAGAAAATATTTCTAAAAGTTAGATGCAGACACAGCAGCACACTGCACTTAGAAATAGTGCTGCATTTTAATATTTAAATATGAAAATGTACAGTTGGAGTGTAGAGTGGGAGGTTCGTGTGGGTGCTGAGGTTAAAGTTGGTTTGTTTCTGTCGCAGCGCTCAGTGTTGTCTGACAGGGAGCGCTGCAGGGCTGCACAGTTACACTTTCTGCTTTTCACAGGACACATACAAAAACCTCTTCTCTGTCCTCAGAGATTCACAGATCAGCAATAAAATAGTTTATATATCACAAGCAAAAATCGCTAGGTGCAATGAAACAGATGTGACTGCGCAGCCCCCGGCAGGACAGACACTCCACACTACTGATGCTCTCACTCTGTGGTTTCCGTGGAGATTGTATATTTGTGTTACTTGTAATCAGACTGCACACACAGAGAACGTGTAGTCCCGATGTTTGTTTGATATCAGAGCTGACGGCCAACGCGTGAAGTGGGATCCTGATGTGAGCTGACGAACCAGACAGATGTTAGATCTCTGTCTCTGCGTCAAAAATATATCAGCTGATATTCATTTTTAACATAAAATCACACACTCAAGTAGTTTTGATTTGGGTTCTTAGGAACAGAAGAACAGATGTTTTCAAACTGTGAGGCTCCTCATTATCTGTGACGTCTGTTGTCGGCGAACCAGAAATCCACTTATCAGCATCAGTAACCACTTCACAGTATCACTGAGATCCTTCTTCACGTGGCGTCTGTCGGATTCATCCGTGTTTCTTTTTTTAATTGAGAAATCATGTTCTTGTTTTGAATGGGGATTATTTAATAGCTGTAAAATATGAGTGTTCTCTCTGTAGATATTTTGCTTGTTTTTTGTCACTTTTTATAATTTTTTTAATTTTTTTTGTCTTTTGGCAACAAAAAGTAAAAGAAAAAGGAAAAAAAAAAGATCCTCATGAAGCTTGCAGTGAAAAAATAATAATAATGCATTTTCCGTTTATTGGACCAACCACCTTTATTCAGTCATTCACTCTGTTTGAACTCAGGATTTTCTGTCCTGGTACTATATATTTATGGAAATATGAAAATGTAGATTTTTTTTTTATTGTACAGAATTAACTTGTAGGAAGCTTCAGTTCCTCCTAAAAAATAAAACAGAAAAAATGATTTCTTCCAAAATAAGACACGATTATTGAGCCTCTTTGACCGGACTGAATTCTTTTATTTTGAAAATGAAGTTTATATAAAATGTCTCAACTCTGAATCTGAACACTTTTTTTTTTTTTCTTTTAACCAAAAATATTTTTTGTCACAAAAACTTTTGTTTTCGTTTCTTGTCTTTGTGTTTCTGCCACTGTGTGTGTGTGTGTGTGTGTGTGTGTGTGTGTGTGTGTGTGTGTGTGTGTGTGTGTGGCTGAGTTTCAGCAGCATTTTATCACATCTGAATCCATCTAATCTGTTTATTTTGAATCCTTTGTTGAAGCTGTACAAGTTAAAGGGGCATTCCAATAATTTTATATATGCCATTTACTGTAACTGTTTACTGGAAATGTAGAAACTCCTGTGGCTCTGGAGGGAGCTCTCTAAATTGATGTGACATTTATCAGACAGGGAGGGTTTAACAAAAGACACTAGAGCTGCATTATGGGAAATGTATTAGCCAGTATACTACCGTGATCAATGTCAGGGTCTTTTCACTTCTGCTGCTTTAATTTTTTTTCCTGTTCTTTTTTTAAATTGTCTCTTGTGATTCCCCGAACTAGTGCAGATGTGATACTAAATTGTTGGAGTGCCCCTTTAAGATTTCTGGAATTTAATTCAACAAAACAAAAAACACAAAGACTGACAATCAAAGAGCAAAAACTTTTTAATGTTCACATTATTGGTATTTAGCAAGAAAGCTACCTGAATGCAAATAGAAATCAAAGATTCAGTAAGAAAAAGGTATAATTTCTTATGATTAGGTATAATTGTGCTTTTTTTCTTTCTTGACACGAGTTTGCAGTTTTACAGGAACATGGAAACAATCTGAACATCCGACAAGAAAGCTAATGTGTAAAAAATAAAACATGTCGAACTATTTCTTTAACTGCAGAGCATTTTGCCAATTTGAAATCGGCTCCAAAACGTCCACTGCCTGTTGAAACCCAGTCCTACTCCTGAAACAAGCAGTTGCTGAAGAGTGTTTGTGTTTTTTATTTGTGTGTGAAGCTGTTGGTCGTGTGTGTCGCGCTGCACTGCTGCTCCTCATGTTTGGAAAAAGAGAAAAATGATGCTACCTTTTTTTTATTATTCTTTTTTTATACTGAATGAATTTGTTACTTTTGTGTAAAGAAATGCAAAGATGAAAAAAAAAAAAGTGGGCATGAAGTTAATGTGGAGTTTTGGAAACAACTGAATCATGTTCTCATGAAAAAATTGTTTAAAAAAAAAAAAAGAAAATGTTTTGAGCAATAACGGTAATAAACTGACGCGACGAAAGTTTTCAATTTTTTTGTATTTGGAAATTGAACTTAAATACTTTGAGGATGAACTGGGGGAAGTTCTGGGAGTTGTTGCTGAATTCAGGTCTCTAATATTTTAATAATCAATTATTTTGATGATTATTTTCTCGATTGAGCGTCTGATTGTTTGTCTATAAAAGAGAAAGGAAAAAAAAATTCCATCGCAATTTCCCAAATCCTTCACGTCTTGATTTGTTTGTCCAAAACCCAAATATCTTCAGTTTAATATCATAAAAGACAAAAAAAAAATTATATTTTAAAAAGCGAAACAAGTGAATTGTGTGTCTTTCTTTTTGCTTGAAAATCACTGGAATTTATTATCAAAATTGTATTAAAAAAAACTAAATGAATGAAATGAATTAACTCAAGAGTCCAAGGACTCTTCTTAAAATCTCTTGTTTCTTCTTGCAACAGTAAAAAACACAAACATGGACAATGAATTGATCATGAAAATAGTGCCTGATTAATTTTCCGTTCATCAATTAATAGTTTTAGATCAATATCAGGTACTTAAAGATTTTTTGAATCATCTCTCTCCATATGTAAAATCATAATTGTGTTGATTGTAAATCGGCAGTGTTTTAAAACTAAACCAAAAGGATTCCAATTTGACTTGAACTTAATTTTTCCTTTGATTAAATTTCAGACACAGTTTAACGGCCGACATGATCAATCAGATTTCAGTCTCCAGCTTTAACATGTTTGTTTGTTGTTGTGTTTTTTTTTTATTTACACAGCTGAGTGTGACAGCATGCCATGTCTCTGGGGTAACCATGAAATGTAAATATGATTCATACACTGCTTTTGTCATTGTTTTTTGTCTTGTTTTTGTTTTTTATATAAATGGATTTAAAAAATGAGAAATGTGTAAATAGGTCTTTGTAATTCCTTTCTGATGAGACGAGCTGTTTGAACTGCTGCCTTTTATGTTTGTAGGGAACGGAAGCGTTGAATTTGATAAAGATAATAAACTATAACCCAGAGCTCCTGTTGTTTGTTAAACTCACCTGTTCTTCAAACGGCTGAAGGTTAGCAAAATAAAAGCACGCCAACATGCTGAACATGGCATGCTAATGTTAGCTTGTTAGCATGCATCAAGTACATGTTACAAAAACTTTTTAGAAATTAGATTAAATATATATAAATTAAATTCTCACACAAAATTAGTAAAGTAGAGAAACCAAGTTACAAATGAAGCTGAAGATGCATCTTTAATCTTCTGTAAACAGATGAAAAGTCAGAGGATCACTAACGTCAGCAGGATTCATCCTCTGGGGAGCATGAATGTCCTTGAAACATCCAGATGTTGTTGAGAGAGTCTGGACCAAAGATTGACTGACGCTGACGTCCGCAGATCCATAACAAACTGCTGGAAGAGGATCCACCTGTGAAACTCTCCCAGTGGACGACTACATCATGACAAAGACATGGATGCTGGGGGTGGGGGTGGGATGGTTGGGGAGGACCGCCTGAGGGCTTCAGCTCTCAGGTTACCTGTTGAGTAGTTGAGAAGTTCTGAAGCCTGGAGCAGAATAAAGTTCAGAGTCATAAAAACGGTCGTGGTCACATGTTGCTGCAGGTTAATGACCATCCTGAACACATCAGAGGGTGGAGGAGGGGGGTGGGCTGAACCAACGAGGTTTTTACAACAAGTCTTTAGTCAGTTGTTCCGCCCCCACCCTCGGGTGACCCTCTGGGGCGCTCATCAACCACAGCAGATACCTCTACAACAACCAAGTCCATAGAGTTTATTACCATAAAGATATGACACAAACAGGACACTAAATTAATTACACAAAATCAGAACAACACAAGAAACCCAGTGTGAGCCAGTGAAACCAGCCTTCCCCACGCTCCTGTTCTGATGCCGACACCTGAGCTTCGAACCACTTCACTCCCAGGCCAGGTGAACCTCATGGAGGACTGATTAGGAGGCGGGCTGAGAGAGCTCCTGGAACACATGCTGCTGTAACACAGTCATCAGGTGGGTGTTAGCTTACATGTTGTGTTTGTTTTAATGTCTCTGATCAAACATAAGCTCCTCTTAAATTCTGGTAAGACTAAATGTATGCTATTCCCGAGGTCACCAAAAAGTATCCAGCCTGCTGCCCATATCCAAACCCTTGAGGGTCATTCAGGTGACACTTTTCTAACTCATCATTGCATCCTATATGAAAAGGGGGGATGGTCCTCCTTAACAAATAGAAGGGAGCAGCATTGTATGTTGTTTATTTTTAAGGCTCTGCTGCAAAAACTACCCAGTTATCTCTGCTCTCTGGTTACATTTAAACACAGAACTTCTGTCAGGTCACAGGACATTTTAACCTTAACCAAACTTCTTGTGCTCCAAGAAAATTATAAAGTTACACTCTTATTTCACTGGAACATTTTAAAAAGTTGCACTTATGTATCTACAACCACATTTGTACATGCATTTTTTTTTATGTGAAAATGTATGTCTGTGAATTGTCTGCGTGTGTCCATTTTAATTGCCTCTTTGTGCATCTCTGGCAGTGTATAAATTGTATATGTCTATTTTTGTACGCAGGTCTCTCTTGAAAAAGAGATCTCGATCTCAATGAGACGATGAGTTTAAAGATCCTCCTCCAGTGTTTGAGCTTTTTTAGTGTTTTAAGGTGGACTGTTCCTTTAAGGCGGCTCTTCGAATCAGCAGAGGGCGACAGAGCTCCGCAGAGAAACATGGTCCATCATCATCATCCTGCTGCTGGAAATATCTAAATATCATACAATATTTATGATTTATTTAAACAGTTTAACTTCTGTTATTCTATTTAATTTATTTGTACTTATTTGCTTTTGTATTATTGTGACCTCTGACCTCTGACAGTGATCAAGAAGTGTCTTTCTCTTTCTCTGTAACCATCAATATGTCATATTAACAGATTTGACTGTTTCAGGAATTATAAATAAACTACAGATGGAAGAAACACACACATACACACACACAGTAAGGATATGATATCATGATGAGGATTAGCAATCAACTCATTGATGAGTTTCCCTGGCAGACACTTCACTGTGTGTGTGTGTGTGTGTGTGTGTGTGTGTGTGTGTGTGTACACTGACGATCGTTTTCCTCCTCGGGAACTGAGGAGACTGCAGCATTTAAATCTGCAGCCGATGACAGTCTCTTAGTCTATAGCCCATTCTCTGGTTCTCCTCTCTCTCTCTCTCTCTCTCTCTCTCTCTCTCTCTCTCTCTCTCTCTCTCTCTCTCTCTGTCTGACTGCTCTTTTTTTCACGGAAGATCAATAAAAACAAAACGACTGGGCCGTTCACCACAGACCTCTGATCAATATCACTGAAATGTTAAGTTATTGTGAAACCAAAGAAGAATGAAGCTGATTAATCTGAAAAAACAGAAACATTTGACTAATTAAACTATAATTAAAAATTCATATTAAAAACCTACTGCAGTTAACCTTCATTAATATGATTCTATTCTTTAATCTTGTTAATATTGAGTATCTTTGATGACAGACTGGATCCTCCTGGACGTGGTTGATCCTGTTCAGCTGCTCTCATATTATTTTATACTATTTTATATTCTTATCATATTTTTCTTGTAAGATATATTGCCATTACATTAACTGGAGTGTTATTATAGAATTTTATTATATTGTTCTATTGCTACAGTCTTTCTACAGTTATATTCAGGTTTCATCATTTATTATCACAATACTTTCTCTCTTCTACTCTCCCCATTCAAACACACACACACACACACACACACACACACACACACACACACACACACACACACACA